GAAATGCATTCTAATTGGAGGTTATTCAAAATGCTTTGTGAGCTATATGATCGCCAGTCACAGTTATTACAACCAGCAGAAATTATTATCGCGAAACAACGAAACATCATTGACCGTTTTGTTCACCTACTTTCTGTTGGGTTTGCATTACCAGTTATCGAAAAGATCAACAAAATGTTCCAGGAAGGACAAATTGATGTTTCCCTTGTAAGGTAAGATGTGGTCAAAATTTTGATATTTTTAAAAAAATTTCACTACCAGGTCCAATCACCATTTTTGTTGGTCTCTCTAAATATGAGATTTTTTGGCATTAGTAAAATCCAAAAATGAATTTTCCAAAAAAGGCCTTATCTTTCTTTTTCCACATCAAATATTAATCTAACTTCTCCAAATCATGATGATCTTTGTTGCTATTTCTAATTGTATCAATAATTAGAATAGCGTTTGATTGTGTGTTATAACTGAATGTTGCATGTCTTACAGATACTTTGCAATAGACGTTCTGGATATCATTGGGCCACCCTATTCAGAAGAGTTCATCGAGACATTTTTACCGATAGTGTCAAATCAGGAAATCTTTGATAACATAACAGTGGTAGAAGCGGTAACTCAATTCGTCGAAGATGTCACGTCTAGAACTATAGAAAGTAATGATGCAGAAGACGTTGTAGAATGCGACAGCACGTCTAGCGAAAGTGAAGTTTTGTCTGATTTGATTATATTGGAAATGTGTAATTTTATTAATTGATATTACATAATGCATGTTATATGCTTATGTTGTACGGATGTTATCAACATCTCCATGGACGTTGTTACACTAAGATAAAAATATTTTCAGAATCTAAGACGAGTTAGCAAAGTTCGGCATTCAAACATTTCCAGATGCTTGAATATAACAGTCTTCATTTCTCCTATCTCAGATCAAGGATGAGCTTACTCGAATATAGGCAAACATATTTCCCATGCTTACCTTGATTTTATTATGTAGACCATGTTACTGAATTTTTAGCATGCCTGTATTCCATATGAGTTCCAGTAGTTTTAGAATGATTTATGTATATGGACAAATTTTTACTAGTAAGAGCACTTATCACCCTCACTTCTTTCTCGGTTTTAATTACTTAGCACATCCATGAGATATCAGGAAATGAATAGGAACGGTTATATAGTTGAGTGTATTAGAAAAGTGCTTGAAGGCAGTAAAATTTTTCCAGGAGTACGCAGCTTTTTTTTCTAATTATATTTTCCACTTTTACTTATGTGCTATAACATAAGGAAGAATTCAAACATTTAAATCAAGTAATACAACTTATATACATGTAAATTTTCGGAATCCATTAGAAGAAACTCACAATATATTATTCTAAGGTTTTCTTATCGTATTCTTAGAAGCAAACAAAGGTTTCTAGAGACACGATGATGTTTGCAAGGACCAACTCAAAACAATTTTCTCACAAGAATATGTTCTGAGTGATCACGCCGCTATCACTTATCCAAATGCTATAACAAAATATTGGAAGCTCTCAGCACTCGCGACCCATTAGTAATGGATTCCTTCCTCCCATTTACATGGAAATTTCATTTTTACAATATCCACATTCTCCTCTGAAGAACCTAATTCTTAATTAAGGCTTCTCATTTTCGAACTTGCATTTGAATATCAAAGTTGCAATACTGCGTTCAGTTTCCAATTTGGAATTCTAAAAGCTCTAATTCCAAATTTCATGAGTTCAACTCCTCAATTCCTAGTACTGCTGTGATGGATGATATTGCTGTTGCTGCTGAGCCTGCTGTCCATATTGTAACTGCTGTTGGCTGAACCTAAAACTGTTACTAAAAATCACCAAACTAAATCATGTGAACGATTCTGATGTCTTTCAAAATGAACATGAAGTTATTTTCCTAATGCAATTTTGCTTCCTTCGTCGGTCTTTTTCCATTATTTTTTTTACAAATCCTAATGAAAGGAAATGACTTTAATTTACCTCATGCCTGGACCATACGAATGCAAAATTAGCATCTATATATGCATATAATAAAACTGAATAGAAACTTCAAAGTAATAAATAAGACAGCACTAACCGAGAATCATAAGCTGCCTGCTGCACCGACTGTTGTCCGTAAGCTACACCACCTCGTTGTTGGTGATGTACAACATACTGAGAACCTCCTTGGGTATCTGCAAATATAAAATTTTATACAACTTTGTATGTATGACATAGAAAGAAACATTGAGAGAATATTGAGAACCCAAAAAGAGAAAACAAGGCGAAAAAGAGAGGAATTTCAGTTATGTTAAAAATTAAAAAGTCCTTTCTACCCTGTTGCATTTGAATTAACTGTTGTTGTTGCGCATACTGCTGTTGCTGTTGTTGTTGTTGTTGAGTATGATCAGTCATTTGCATAGAACTAGCACCCGTCTCAACTTTCATTACCATACCACCACCATATTGTGCCGGTCCTCCAGAGATCTGGTAAGCTAAAACAGGGAACAACATTAATAAAAATAACGAAAGTCTTGATTAAGAGAGAAAATGAGAAGCTGCTGTTGAAAGCTTAATAGAACTGTGACCAAATATTCGGATGATAAAAATAGCTAACGGTACTGGATCTCATTCTTCATCCTTATCCAATAAACTCGATGACTTAGTAGCGTACATTTGTAGTAGTAAACTAACCGTTAACATCCTGCAGAGTTGGCTGAGGTCCACCTGTAGTGCCCTGTTGCATTGCAGCAACACCACTGGCAGCTTGTGCCTGTCGCTTTTGTAGGATCATAGAGTGAATCTTCATTTTCGAATCTTCTGTCGTTTGAGTACCCATTGGAGCACCTGAAATTTCCTAATTCCGTGAGTGCTAAGTGCTTTCTATAAAAGGTATTCCATGAGCGTTTTTTTGTTGGCAATCAACAGTTTAGTTAGTCGATAGTATACTAAAATTTTTTGAAAGGTAAGATAAGCTCATAGGCAATCTTTGCATGAAAGATCAAATCATACCTACGAATGACTTTAAATACTAAAACTGAGAATGACACTTCTAATTTCATACTGAAATATGAACTTTAATCTCAAATATGGTAATACGTACACCTTTATGAAGAAATATTAACTTCTGACCTGGTTGCCCCACTCCAGCAGGAGCTGCTGAAGATCCAGATGCAAACTGTTGCGGTACTCCTGCCTGCTGTTGACCACTGGCCCAGGCGCCTGGATATGTCGGTTGCGACGGTGGTCCAGCACCGCCACAACTAACAGCACCGGTCATTTGTTGCTGTTGTTGCTGCGCAGCGGCGGCCGCTGCTGCAGCTGCTACAGCCAACTGATCAACAGTTTGCTGTCGCTGCTGCCGTTGTTTGCGAGTGGTACCTTGGGAACGAGTAGAAAGACCTGTTGCTTTGCGACGTCCACCTGCAAAAATAAATAAAATAAAATGCTGCATCACTAGTACCCTTTAATTTTTTAAAGAAATTTTAAATTAATGGGACAATGATGCAGCCGGGAATGACATTTGTAATCCATAATGGGAAACCTACCTCTTGCACCTCTTGGCGACGCACTGTTTTGACTTCGCCCTGTTAGATCCGGTAGCGCCGGCATCGAACCACCTTGTGCCGGAAACATCATCCCTGTTGCAGTATTTGGTGCGCCAGGAGCACCAGATGCCGTAGATGCATCGGGGATGGATGTGCAGCTAGGAGTGGCACCTGACTGGTATCCCACTGCACGACCTTGTGCCACGGGACCCAAAGTTGCACCCACATCCATAGCTGCACCACCTGAGGATACCGATACATTCTAGAACGAAAAAGAAGTTCAGCTGAATGAGATGCAAAACTTTCACGGTCTTGTGAACATTAAATCAGTCACCGAATGATTCCAATGATATAATGAAGATATGCCCAGCATAGCTAAAGAACGTTTATAGGAAACGTTTTATATGCAAACCAAATTTTCAACTGCTTCGGCACGTAATTTTGATCAACGTACCGTAGAACTGGCAGATGTGGTTGTTGAGGTAGCAGCACTCGAAGAAACATGATGCAAAGTTGCCGGTGTTTCCGAAACATCCATCATCGGTGGTGAAAGATAGATATCCAGATTGGGTGGTCTGTAACAAAACTCATTTATTCCAATTATGGTACACTGTCAGCATTAAAATTTCACTTGGGCTCATTTATATCAACCAATTTCTAAAGTTAATCATGTTCAATTACAAAACCTACTATTTCGGCATAACGGATAATCCCATTCACAAGAAATAGAAAACTAATCACGGCTAGGAATAAAGGAATTAGGTTTACAGATAAGAATTAAGGGACAGCTTGAACTAGACACACATCTAAGACTCTCCAGTCAGAAAATTTAATTCACCGATCCATTCCACAAATTGTCGGGCGAACAAATTCATTGTAATGAGAATGGTGTACTAAACGTTGAATGTATCGTTGTACAGGAACTGGCAAACGATCTAATTTTACAGCCTAAAACAGTTTAGATCATGAAAAATTAAAAAAAGAACATGACATTTACGACTTCCCATATTTTATATTAATTAGAGAAATAAAATTAATAATCACAGCATAATATCTAAAGCCAGCTTGGACAAATAAATCATTGTTAGGCGATTCCATGCATCAGAATCACAATATCTCACTGTATGGATATATGCTCTTTGCTGAGTGAATATAAAAATAGGGAATCACACACCTGTAACATTGACCAGTTCCAGGGACGCTTGAGTAAAGTTGAATCGACATTTAGGTATTGTATTATATCGTATGCTGATAACTTCACTTTTTCAGCAAACTGCAAAAATAAACACTACACTTTAGAAAAACAGAAGAAAATTAAAAACTATTTTTCAAGAAATAGCAAAAGTGAAAGATTTAAACAGTCGTGATATCACCGATGCAGTTACCTAAGTTGGTGATACCATGACTGTTTAAATCTTTTAATAAGGTATTGTTACATATTAGCAAAGTGTAACAACACGAAATCAACACAATCATATTGAAAAAACGCAGCTTATAGAGACGAAAGTGAGATGATTTGAGAAAAAAGAATGAATGCATCTAGTAAAATATAAATACCTCTAAAAGTGACATCTCTATGTCACGGTAAATATTCTACTTTTCTTTTTTACCTTGTCCAAGGAGGAAAAAAAACCCTCGCTACCTATTCACTGTGCAAACCTTTTTCCTGCCGGCTGCCTTACAGACTTATTATTACGAAATAACATAGCAATATACAAACCTGCAGCCCATGACGATTAGCTTTTACTGTTGTTTGGATTAATTGCCCTTGCGATTGGCTCTTTCCAAGTTTTTGTGGTGAACTTGGTACTGTGCCATATGGTTCACAGGTTATCAGCTCAACCTGGGGTTTTGGAATAGGTAGAAACTGCATTAGTGAACGAAGTTCAGGAATTAATGCACGTTCGCTCAATTCCTTCTATAATATTATTATTTATATGTCATTTCTAACTACATATTATACTTCAAATGTCAATAATTCGTACAGCACCTTTACATCGCATATTTTTGCTTTTTTCATTTTATGGAAAATTAATATTTAAAGAAAAGTGGATTTTATACTCAATAACAAACAACTTTTAGTAATTTACTCGGAGCTTTTTAACGATCAAAGAGTAAGTAGGAAATCGAAATTTGGTATCTGGATCTTGTGTATTCATCGCCGCTGCATTCATCGGATCAGTAATCGACCATATCAACAGAGTAGATAGCATATCGTAACATGAATCGAACAAATATCTAAATTCAAATGTAGACTTTTATGTTTTTCTTTCTCTTGGTAGTATCCTCGTCCTCTTATCAGAATATAAAAAACATTAAATGTTTATAGGGTGAAAAAAAAATTTTTACAACTTCCGATACAAATTACAACTAGGAGAAACATATAGCGAAATTTGGTATCTCAAATTCTATTATTTTTCATCAGATGACACAGCTGACATCACCACTGAAAACAGAAGTCTCAAGGAATAAAATAAACTCGGTTGAACTCCATATTAAAACTTTTGATTCAATCGAAACATTTCGCTTAGCGTCCACACAAAAAAAGAAACTTTGTATTGCAATGGTGCTTGCATCATTGCGTAATGAAATGTGAAAAAGTGGCCTGGCATATCGGCTTTACATAATTGATAAAGAGACAAAAGAATAGTGTAAATAGAAAAGTGAAATTAAAAAGTTATTTACCCGTCTCGTTCCTTTGAGATAACTCCATAAAGCATTAGTTGAAATAATGTCAATGCCCATGTATCACAAGTCGAAGTATGACATACTGAGTCAAACATACCTCCAACCAGAGATATTCGCAATAGTACCCCTTCACGTTCTAACGAAAATATGCGCAAATATGGTAAAAGGGGATTCTGTAAGTACTACAGTTAATTGATTCATTTTTATTTAGAAGCAAAAAATAAACAAATAGAATGGAGTGAATGCTATCACTTACATCTTTAGCTTTCAATGCCAACTCCTGTAGCTGTTTAAGCATTGAACCGACCAAACCATCACGTTGCTGTTCCTCACCATTTAAACATGTCAGCACCAAGTTCAAAAATGGCTCTTGACTCAGCAACCAAGCACTAAAGAAACCGAATTTTCAAAGCAAAAGACATTATAC